TAGTTTTAACCTATATAAACCTACTCTCTATAATACATATTCGTAGTAACATTTAACCAGAAGATGCAGCTTTAAGTTTATGTTAAGTTGAGCAGAACGGTTATTTTCGTATGAAACAGGAATAACAACAGTTATTAATGATCCAAGGGCAATCTAAGAATTTTTTAAAGCACAATATCTCAAAAATAGGGTGGTTAATATAGTAATTTCTTTTTAAAAATTAGAAAAAGGAGGAAACATCTTTTTTAAGTATATCTTCGTTCTATTCGAAAGAGTAAACATTCGCTTTATTTATGAAACACGATTTCATTAATGTGCCTCCCTCGGCTTGCGCCTTGCAGTAGCGCATGCTGTTAACCCAGTTTTCCAAGGCCTTGGTGACCGTTTCTGGCTCTATCTCACGAATGACTTGCTCGATATTCGCTTTAAGAACCTAGTTCCTTAATGAATTGTTCGCATAGTTAACGTTTCTTTCTCGAGGGAAAAGTTATTTTCTGGCCTCAACAAAGAAACTTGGCTTACACAGGGTTAAAGTTAGCAAGGTGTCAAAAATCGTGTTTTTGCTCAAATCTAGATTTTATTGCAGATTCTGGAGAATATCCATTCAGTACAAAAGGTTTTTTCGGGTATATTTTTGTTTAGGGCGACAAACTCCTAGAAATGGGCGTGCCAACTTTATGACCAAAGTTAACAAAAACCAGATTTTTTTTTGTGGATTTCGACAGAATATATCTTCGTTAAAAACTTTTGTTTCGGAACCTTGATTTAAATAGAGTGTCAATTTCATTACAAATATACATTATTCGTCTTTCGAAAAAATTTCTCTTAATAAACTGAGTTATTTATTATTTACGACTAACGAAAACAACAGTTTATTTATTTGTCATTCGTGTTGCGAATAAATTATGTCCAACTGTGTCATGAAGTCGTTTTCTTTCTCTGAATTAATTTTGATAGTATTTTTTTTTTCTTAGTGAATATTTATACTTACATATGTGCATATGCGCCCCAATTTATGCCAGATGTGCATTCACAAAAGTTTATGCTCCAATTTCAAGTCGGATGTGCTTTCACCCATTTCATTACTCATTTCAAGTGAACAGCTGATGCTGATACAAAAGTGCACAACATATGTTTGTTAATTACATACATACATGCACACTCCTAAGAATATTGTGTGTTTATTTCATAATGTGCTTATTATTTTATTTACCCATAATTATTTTTAATGCCAATATGAAGCAGATAGAAAAAGTTGGCAAGTTTAATTTAAATATACACACATATGTATTAATTCGCTGGCAGTTAATATGTATTAATATATATATAGTAAATATATTTGTTTACATACCTTGCACTTGCTCATCATCATTTACTTTTCGACATATGCTTTCTCACATTTTGACAACACATCAGTAGTTCGCTGTAAGCAGAAATTCAAGGACTCATATGGACTTTTGTATGCAAGTAAATATGTACACTACATACAATATGTATACATACCTACATAAAAACGTTTGTTTTTCTAAAGTGCCAATATGTATAGAACATCTTGCTGATTCG